ATTCAATCTAATGTGATAGAGCTAAAAGGCCATAAGGAAAATGTTGAAACCGTGAACAAGTTAATATTGTATTTTGGTAACATATTTTGTTAAAGCTATGGCTTTGTTAATGAGATGATTGAAAACATGTTAATGATGATGGAATTCAGGGGGCGGATTTACTGTCCCCTTCCTTTTGGAAAGCAAAAAAAAAAAGAAAGAAAAAAGAAAAAATTTATCGCGAAAAATGGACCCTCTAGGATAGTGTTATCTTCATCGGCCCCACTCGATTCCCCAACACTAGGCTGGTGGGTGCACTTTCTCAGAAATATATCAGTAAACGTTTTTGGTAATTATTTGTGTTGTGAACTTTTGTTTTCTCTTGAGTATGTTCGGACCTTTCTGAGAGGCTGTGTGACATTTTTGGGGACTACTCGTCCAGGAAATTATACAATACAAGAACACTGATGAAAAGAACAAACCTAAATCGGGCAGAATATACCTGTCCCTAAACTGGATAATCCAAAGTTAAGGCAAATAGACCTAAATTACCAGCATTCTTATTTAAAACGATATGAAATGTATGCCACGTGATTTGGCAGTAAATTTAAGTTCTTTATTAACAGGAAAATCTCTTGTAAGTTTATTTTAGGTTATCTACAGCCGAAGCAAATGATTACCGATTACTTAAACTGCTCTATTGAAGCATTTCCAGTTGACATGATAGATTTCGACATCTACATCTTGCAAGACCTGAAGCTGGAGAAAGTGGGCCTTAATTTGCGGCAATTTAAAAGATGTTTTGACTAGATGGATTAGAATTAGATGCAGACAAGTTATGACATTTTGCTACGAGAACAGATTACAGATGGATGTGGGCGTGAGTAGGCACTTTTACTTTGGGAAAGTCAGCCGAGATCCTTTTTTAACTGCTATGGCTGAAATTCCGAAGCAGTACGTTGAAGCCTGTGGAAAAATGTTCAGTCAGCTTTAGGGATCCAGTTTTAAAACCTTTACCAAATGCAACCACAAAACCAAACTGAGAGCTCCATTCTCATTTCAAATGGTAAGCAAACCCACTCCTGTAACAGAAAAATATGCCGGCTTATCTTATTCCAAGACACGTCAACCGAAATCTACTTTCCATGAAGAAGGTAGTAATAAAGATCCAGAAGTGGATAAATATAAACCAGACATAAGTGCTTGCATGGTTGAAAGGAATGTAGCATCATTAGATGACTGCTGCTGCATAGATGGAGGGTAGTCAGGTAATGCCTACATGTGCGCATTTTCTTTCTATTATGAGCATAGCTTGTAAAATTTACTAAGAGAATGCCAGTTTCCACAGGTACTGTTGGCTCGCATCCAGTTTATGTTCTCAGTGACAGTGATGGCATGGTGTAGTGGTAAGTAAAGAATTTGTTTTGTGTTACCTGGACAACTGACTGGCAAGATGAAAAAACCCTGTGTTTTAATAATGGTACTGTTTAGAAACTCATAAAGAACCATTATATATCTGAACTTCATAATACAATATATTTTAAATTTGATGATGTTTCAAAATTGAATATTCTGTAGTATTTATAGTTCTATTATTATTTTTATTCCTAGATGGCGAGAAATGAGCTTTCCAGACTTCTTCCAAAAAAAAAAAAAAAAAAAAATCAGCTCACAGGTCCTGAAAGGGTAGACCTAGAAGTTTTTATATATTTTTTAACTAAGGGATGGGGATCAAGACCCCTGACACCCTAGATCCGCCAATGTGAATTGTGAGAAAATGTATTAACTCAGTTTCTTTTCTGATCATACAAAAATGTCCATAGACATTATATATTTTCTGCCAAAAAGTGGGGCCCCAGTCCCCGGTTGCGCCAGCCATGTACTACGTAAAACGGCCATGGACCTTCCCTATTTCTACCCCATAAAACAAAAATAAAGAAAGTCCATTGAATCTTCCGACTGATGATATAATTTCTTCGTTCCTTAAAATTATCATGTCTCAACCTTACTGTTTCTTGTTGTTTTTTCTTTTTTTTTGGCAGATGAAGCAACAGAACATGACCCATGCGGCAAGTCGTGAAAAGTGTACTGAAGTTTTGTTAGAACATTTACTGAATAGTGCGATAATCCTGGTAAAGGAAGGTGGAGGAGCATCCAGTCAATGTTAAAGTGTCAAAGTATATGGAATCATGCCTGTTTGACAAGGGTGCATATTGATGAAGCAATACAATACTGTTTGTGAGAATTATATTTGATGGTGTTTGGAAAAAAATAAAACAGTTGGAAAGCATCACAGTAGGCCTACTTGCTGCTACTTGAAAATTGGACTCTTGCAAGATTTCTTTGCTTAAATCTGATTCAACACAAAGCCACTATAGCGCAAGCTCAGTTGTTCAATTCCTACCCAAATGACTTTATTTGCAAGTATTATGGAACATGCTGTGCATTCAGTGTGATGAACTAAAACATTCCTAACATAAAAAACAGCATTGAATGGCATTACAGTACTCACTGGTACATGGAAATGGGATTTACACACCAGATAACTAGCCTGGTGCTTAACCACTACAACACTGAGCTTGCGGTTTCTTAAATCAGTATTTGTGAAAGTCACTGAGAATACAAAAACAATATCTGTATTTTTTTTATTTTTTTTTTGCAGACGCCAGACAACTCTCTGCAAGATAAGTAACTTTTGATATACTTATCTTAATACTGTAAGTATTAAGTGAAATATACTGAAGCTTTATGAAATTATTAACTTTATTATTAACTTTAATTTTGTTTAATTCGTGTTTGTGTCTAATTTTTTTTTTTAGAATCCATTTTTGGTGGATGCAGCAACACAGTTGCAAGACAGGAGAAGTACTGCTCCAGAGGAAGACAAGCCTATTATAATTAATTTTGTCTAATATAGGCAATTTAATTTAATTTAGTTAATTTAATTTGTCTTCCCAATACAATACAGAAGTTTTGCTAACATCTTGCTGAATATTGTGATGCCGTAATCCCGGTGAAAGCAGTTGTATTATTTGTTGCAGCATCAAGACAAAAATTGCTTAATTCTGAAAAAACTGAGTATATTGTACAGAAGATATAAACTGGCTAATTACAATCAGACCAGAGAACCAGAAAACTACTATGATTACTAGCAGAGCATTTTAACTTTCTATATAATGAATTGTTGATGCCTAATAATTTACATTATGTGATTTTGGTTATGAAGATAATAAAAAATATAAGTAGTGTGTTGACTTTTCTTTGCTGTTCAAGTCTGAAGATTGGTGGATGCAGGTAAAGTTGTTGCAGCATCAATACAACAATTGCTTCATTCTAAAAAACTGATTATATTGTACAGAAGATATGAACTAATTAATTACTAAGAGAACCAGAAAACTACCATAACTTGCATTTTAACTTTCCATATATTATAATGAATTGTTGATGCCTAATAATTTTGATTACGCGATTTTGGTTATGAAGATGATAAAAAAAAAAATCAAGTGTTTTGATGTTTCTTTGCTGTTGAAGTTTGAAGACTGATGGCTTGACGGATGGATGCAGGTAAGATGAAAAAAGCGCCCTCCAATAGAAAAAGGCTAATTTTTTCCATGTTCCTCAATTTCTATTAAAAGTGGTGCTGAAGGGTGCCCTCCAATAGAAAGCTAAAATTTCCAGGGTCTATAAAATTATTTAAAGGGGTCCTGTGTGGTGCAGAAAACCGCCCTCTATAGCCATTTTAGTTCAACGTTTTTCGGTGGTCTCTTATCTGTCATTAATTTAATTAATAAGGTGGTAGTGCCCTCTAATAGCCAGTTTTTATGCCATTCTGAAAAACTTGGATGTTAGAGGGTGCTTACTGCCATTGACAGTTAAGACACCCTAAAAAACTTTAAATTAAAATGGCTATTTAGGGCGATTTTCTTCACTATTTTTATCAGAACCGGACAGATTATTGTGGCCAAATAACTTAGTCATATTTAGGGCCTTTTTCTATTCGAGGGCGCTTTTTTTTTTTCTGCCATCCTGCTTTTCCAATGCTCGAGAAGAAAACAATACTCAATATTAAAACTGAATACAATGAATATTTATTTATTCAAAATACTTCAATACTAAATTACAATGAATATTTATTCAAAATATTTCTAAAACGATAAAGAATATTTGAAATCGAAAGCTTGAATTGCCAAATCAGTTGCCACATTCTGAAAGAATAAGAAATTAAGAGCAATAAGGAAAAACATTATTATTATTATTTTTAAATGAAACATTTACGCAAATTTTTACAATCAATTTATAAGTCCGGTAAAAAGGGGAAAAATATTTAAAGTTATTTTTAATTGAAACATTTACAATCAATTCAATTCCAGTGGAAAGGGAAAATATTTAAAGTTAATTGAAACATTTATGCAAATTTTTACAACAATTTATAAGTCTAGTGGAAAGAGAAAATATTTAACGTTATTTTTAATTGCAACATTTACGCAAATTTTTACAACAATTTATAAGTCCAGTGGAAAGGGAAAATATTTAAAGTTATTTTTAATTGCAACATTTACGCAAATTTTTACAATTTATAAGTCCAGTTGAAAGGGAAAATATTTAAAGTTATTTTTAATTGAAACATTTACGCAAATTTTTGCAATTTATAAGTCTAGTGGAAAGGGAAAATATTTAACGTTATTTTTAATTGCAACATTTACGCAACAATTTATAAGTCCAGTGGAAAGGGAAAATATTTAAAGTTATTTTTAATTGAAAAATTTACACAATTTTTTACAATCAATCTAAGTCCAGTGGAAAGGGAAAATATTTAAAGTTAATTGAAACATTTATGCAAATTTTACAAGAATTTATAAGTCTAGTGGAAAGGGAAAATATTTAAAATTACTTTTAATTGAAACATTAACGCAAATTTTTACAATTTATAGCTATTTATTATTACATGTAAATCAAATAATTCCAGAAACAAGTATCAAATCTGAATTCATCGTTAGCATTTATTTATCCCACAAAGCAACTTGCAATGGACATGCAATTTACAATGGACATGAAATTTATAATAAGAAAGTTCACAAAGTTTTTCTAGCACACTCACCATTCAGTAGAGGGAGCAAAATTCGCCATTCAGCCAAGCAGGGCTGGTCCACTTGTTGCAGAGGTGCAATGTCTAAATTTTCTTCAGAATTTCTATAGTAAAATAAATTGCATAAATTAGATTTATATATATTTAGAAAATATAAATGCACCATAAATATCAAAATGTTAATTGTTAATTTAATTATTAAAATTCTAGAAAAAAATATATAAATTTGGTAAAATAATTAAATTTTAATTTCATGAACTATTAATCATAACATATTTAAATATTGCATGCAGAATTAAAATGATAGTATGCATTTTTTTATTAATGCTTGCAGTACACAACAAAGATAGTTCTGGAAAGAACTATTGTTGGTTGAGAATGCGGGGCTGGTAGAACGTTTTCAAAGTGGGAGAGGCCCCCAACTTTAAAAATGGATGGGAATATGAATCAGGTGGATCTGGCTTCAAATGTAGGGTGGTGGGGGTCAGAATTTACCCCAAAACCCCCAAAAAGAAGGCAGTCTGAGGATCCTCAAATTTTGATTCCTAGAGGCTGGGAAATGAGCTTTCTCGACTTTTGAGCTGGGTGTATCGTAATAACAAGTTCTTCAAAATTCAAGGTTTTCCCCCTCTTGAAAACAGTTTCTAATAATGTTCTCATTCTTATTACATTAATAAAGCCTAGTATGTGTGTATACATACATAAAAGAATTGAGTAGTTGCATATGTATTCTTTTTTCCATGAATCGATAAACCCCCAAGAGAAAGGTTGATCTGGTGGTTTCCCCCTGGAAAATTTTGACTCCTTGATGGCGGGAAATGAGATTTCCCGAGTTCTAAGGTGTCTATTGACTTTGTGTGTTTGTTTGTGTTTGAATTATCTCAAGAAACGGCTGCACAGACATAATTAAAAATAACAAGGAGTATCAGACATATCCCAATGAAAAAATGACGGTCCAGAGTAGGGTGTGGATGTGAGGACCAATTAAAGGATTTTAGAGCGTTCTAGAAAAGATATTTCAAAAACTAATCAACTGATATGAATGAAAGTTTGGTGAAAGTTTAACTAAGTTACAAGGAAGACATTATTAAGTGTTGATGACGATCTAAATTCAGGTGTGAATTTGAGGGTCATTTAAAATCCTAAGGTCCTACCTAAATATCTCTAAGGATAATCAATAGATCAAAATTTCCCTTCCCACAATAATTTGTCATGTTTCAATGAATAAAGGGTATGGATATGAGAACCATTCAAACGAAAACGTCCCAGACCAGATATTTAAAAAACTAATAAAGTATAAAGTGATCTGAATGAAACTTTCGTGAAAGTTTAATCAAGGAAAATAAATTTGAATTGTTGGTGACGATCCAAAGTCGGGTGTGCATGGAGGCCAGGTCCCACACCTAAATATCTCTAGGACCATTTAAAAAATAGGTTAACTGTATTACTGTAGGCATAAACAATAGTTTAATATGATGAATATCTGAATTAGTGCAATTACAGTAAAGCTGTACAGCGTTTTATATGTACTAACTTCACTTTTTTTGGAACTGATTGGGAATTATTTTTAATACATCGCTATACAATGTGACGCTAAAAACCAAACCCCCATATATATATTAGCATAATATTTCCATTTGAACACTAATACATGGTATGTATTATTTTGTCAGGTATTAGAATTTGACGTTCAGTGTGTTAAAGCCAGAAGATGTAAGGCATTGGCAGATATCCCAAAAACATAATCAACTGATTTGAATGCAACTTTTGTGTTTAAGTGTAATTTTTGTTTAAGTAGATGGTGGTTGGTGGTTCGAAAGTAGGAATATGAATTTTAGGGATTTATTTTTGAGAAAGGGATTTGCAGTGGGCGGAGATATGCTCTCTACTTAGTACTTTTGTTATTATTATTAAAATATATTATTATTATCATTATTATTTATACACTTTAAAATGATAGGTCAGTTGCTGAAATCTATACTATTGCCAAAGTTATGAGTAAAAGTATTACGGCTCTGAACTAAAGTATACAATACTGCCACATTACTTATCAGTTTTCTCAGTTTAAATTAACATATAGTGACAGTATGCCGGCTTTAGGATAGTGAGCCTTCAATAGAAAAATTATGCTTGTATTGTCTTTTGCAGTGAGTGTAGACATATGTGGCAAAGACAAGCCAAATCAGTCACTCGTCACAAATCCTGTTTTAGAGATAATGGCCAAAACATGCTGGAGTGTCAAAATTAAAAAAAAATATCTACTGTAGATGGCCGGAAATGGCTGGGATGGGAAAACTAGGCCTATATTTTTTTTTTTCGTCCGACTGCCCAGCGAGCTTTAGCCGATTGGGGGGGGGAGCTTAACCAGACCGATGGAGGCTTAAGCCCCGCTAGCGCCGCCACTACACATTACATATCAGTTTACTCAGTTTAAATTAACATATGTTGACAGTATGCCAATTTTAGGATGACGAGCCTTCAATAGCAAAATTACGCTTGTTGTAATGTCTCTCGCACTGAGTGTAGACATATATTGTGGCAAAGACAAGCCAAATCAGTCACTCGTCGCAAATCCTGTTTTGGAGATAATGGCCAAAACATGCTCGTGTCAACAATTGGGAAATCAATTTTATTGTACTAAACTAACCTTTATGTATTAATAAATACTGTAATGCTATGCTGTTATTTTCCCAATTTTGAATGCTAACAACAATTTTTTACGATTTGGTGATGGTTTCTGCCTAAGAAATGCCCAAAATCGTAACATTGGGACTTCTACTATAGATGAAGGCTGATTTCTCAAATACTGGTTTGGAAACAACTTTGTATAAACTCCTGTAACTTCATAACGAAATGTCTGACTCAAATGAGTCATTTTTAAATGGTTCTCATTTTACTGTTTAACCCTGTATTAGTAACTAAAAATAAATATACAGTACTGTAGAACCTCGATTTTACGTACGGTGTGGGACCGGAGGGCGTACGTAAGTCGGGGGATTTGTAAAATAGAGGTTGGGTTAAATTTGTGGTAACCTTTGACCTAATACGTACGTAACGCTCAATAAACATATGTATGAACGAACGATGTTACTTAGGCTAGACCTAGCCTCTAGGCCTACGAATAAAACCATGTGTTTAGTGTTTTTATTCATCACTTTACGATGTCATAATAAAGTGTTCAAGTAAAACCATGTGTCTAGTGTATTAATTCATCACTTTATATCTTTTATTTAACTAAAGAACATGAAAATATCGTAAGATTACCTATACGACAAAGGTATAACTTGGGAGTTCCCCTTCATGCCTATTCTAAACAATAGAGCTGTGGTGTTGTCTCAATGTCTGGGCCTGTTGAGACAAACTAAAACCATGTGCGCTGTACTGGGTGAGCCAACCAATTAGCGTTCGTGTACGTGAAACAGCAACCATGTTTGTGTACGAAACTGTCTACTCAGCTTCGTGTAGAAAATTTGACCAGACGAGTTTTTCCATGGTTTGCCATCACGAAGCTAAAGAGGAAAGCAATGGACCTTTCCGCTAAGCCCCGCCCATTGGATATTGTTGCTAAGGTCCCACAAGACGACAATGTTAAAACATACGCAAACACGTGCGTTTGTGGGACAACACGTGTGTTTGTAAGACGCGCGCATATTCCTAGCGTTGTTCTGATTAGTCAGTTGTTAAGTTTGATTGACACTCCGGAAAGGTCTATTATTTTGAGCACCATCGGTAGTTGTTCATCTCACTCAGTTCATGTGATTTTAGATAATAACAACCCGATGTTAGACTCAATCAACGTTGCTGTTTAATGAAAATATGTTGCATTATGGTTTGTATATTGTTATAGTTAATATTGTTATAGTCTTTTTACTTATGGTTGCTCTGAAAAGGGCTGTTTGTTTTGAATATTTTCAGGGATTTTTATGACGGCGTCGTCGATACGAGGCGTACGTAAAACCGAGGGTTTGTATAACTGGGGTACGTAAAAACGAGGTTCTACTGTATATATAAATTAATGTTTTGGCTACAGGTTTAACATAGATTATTTTAGGTGCTTTGGGTACTTTATAGTTATACTGAGGAAAGAACATTCAGTACAGAATAAATTTTGAATTCAATTTGTTTGGCCTTTGATACCACTTACTACTAATATAAACGGTATCAGTATCTGGTAGGATAGCCTGCTCCTGCGCTAATTACCAGCAACAATGCTTAAAGCATGTGGACCCAATGATCAGGGAAAAAAATTGCCCTTTATAACCTCAAGGATAATGTGCATCATAAATGCCCGTACCAGTATCAGATTTTTACGGATTACTCATTACGAGTTGAAAGCCTAAAATAGGATTGCCCAAATAAATTCAAACTGTGTTCATATAGCAGATAATTTATTACCAAGTAGCCTAAATTTATTATATACAATAAATACCATTTAAATTGTTAAATTCTGAATATTTTCTAAATTATTTATTTGTAAGTTTGTCCATGAATTAAGAGAAAATTATTATTGTTGTAAAATTCATTGGGTTAGATTAATTATTATATTTATTTAATTAAAGGATTTTGAAAGCTTTGCTGTTTCTATTTAGAAAATGAATAAATTATTATTATAATTAATAATTTATTTTATTCCTCCTAAATGTATATTTTGATTATCCTGTTTTAACCAGAGCATATAACACATATTTATTATTTTATTATAATATTTTCCAAGTTAAACTGTAAGTAATAAAAAAAAAAATTCATTTTGATGATGATATTACAATTACAGAGACAGGTTAGTTTGTTTTAGCTAATAGTGCCTCGAGCACTTACAGTGGATATGCGCGCTATACAAATCATATCATTATCTCCGCATGAGATATATGTTTCAGTCATGTAAAGCTTGTGTGTGTGGGTGTGTGTGTGTGTGTGTAATACCTTCGTGTTTTGCAAGTTTTTTTGTGTGCGACATATCTTAAGAAAAGGATGCACAGACATAATTGAACATAATTGAAAATAACACGGAGTGAGGTATAACTCAATGAAGAAATGATAAAATTTTGGTGATTGTCCGGAGTATGGTGTCGATGTGAGTACCAATTAAAGGATTTTAGAGCAAACGTTCTAGACAAGATATTTTAAAAACTAATCAACTGATATGAATGAAAGTTTAACCAAGTTGCAAGGAAGATATTATTAAGTGTTGATGACAATCCAAATCTGGGTGTGAATTTGAGGGTAATTTAAAATGTCCAAGAACTAAACATGTCAGAAACAATAGATAATGAATATTTAAATTAGTGCAATTACAGTAAACATATACAGAATTTTATATACTAACTTCAATTTTTTCAAAACTGATTGGGAATATTTTTAATGCATCTTTACATTTAAACATGTGACGTTAAAAGCCAAATCCTCATATTTCTATTTGCATAATATTTCTATTTCAACACCAATACACGGCAGGAATTTTTTTGGTCAGCTAAAAGAGTAAAACGTGTCAGTGCGTTAAGCCAGAAGATGTACTGTAAGGAATAGGCAGGTGTACAACTGACACAATGAAAAGCGTTCGAAAAATGCTTAAATTTTGATGTCGATATTGGACCATTCAAAGCAAAACGTCTGAACTGAATGAAAATTTTATGTTAGTGTAATTTTTTTAAGTAGATGGTGGTTGGAAATTAGAAACATATTTTTGAGGATTTATTTAATAGAAAGAGATTGGTTATTATTTTATTATTATCATTATTGCCTTTTCCCAGCAGTACAGTAGCTAATATTTAGTGTCAATCTAAAGTGGGGTGTGGATGTGAGGATCAATAATTGTGATTTAAGGGCAAACAGTCTACACCAGATATTTCAAAGATGGGTCAATTGATCATTGAATGAAACTTTCGGGGTTAATGGGTCTAAATGTTCACTTTCTGCAATAGGTCAAGGTCAATACTTATTAGAAAACCACTTTATATAGTTTTGTTCATTGTTTTGTCATCACTGACATAAATGAAATAATATTATTATTTTTATCTCTCCAATTGTATTATCCTGTTAATTATATTAATTTCAATTAAAAACTTATTTTATGAAAACTTTATTTTAATTTATTTTAAAATAATTTAATAAGGGATTTTGTGTTGTAATATTGAAATAGTAATGTTTATTCTTAGTGATGAATCAGGTCGAACGTTATCCCACAAAGCTTTTACAACGGACAAGAAAGTCATAAGAACAAGTTTTTTCACTCACCATTCAGCAGAATTAACGAGCACAAAACAAGAAAGCAACATTATAGGCATTGAGCTGAGCAGGATGAGTCCACCGGTTTGCTGAAATCTTTGCAATGTTCAGCCTTCTACAAAATATTTACTGAAATAAAATACATACATTCATTAAAAAACCAGAATTAGGAAAAGAAAGGCAACATTTATACTTACAAACATTAAATGTAAATTTTAATTCTAGAATCATAGCAAATAAAAACATTATTTTAATATTATTATCATCATTTAATTCCAACATTAGGTCAAATAATGAAATTTTAATATTAATCATTAATGTAATTATTTTAAGAACAAGAATCATATAAATGTATTTTATATTAAAAATATATATTTAGGCGCGATCGCCAAATTATTCCAGAAGAGAAGTCTGCTTTCTATTGTTCTACCAAAACGCGTCTAAAAACACAGTTTGAATAGTGCATCGTTTGGTTGCCGATATTCCGTTTTGGCCTTTGCTCCTCCCCATTAACTATGGCCAATTGGATGCACCGTAAAACGCGTCCAATTATTAATTATGACAACTCTCTAAAATAAATCATAATACGCCTGACTGCGCGCCGCTATACCCAAGTACGGATTTGTTTACGTGTTAGCGAACTCTCTTTGTACGCCACATGTGTGTGCAAGAACTGACAGAAGTAAGTAAACTCAGGGAGGTCCCTGGTCAATGCTAAAAAAAATAGTTGGGTACTGGGACGTCGTTTAGTAGGCCTAGTACCGTGCATAGGTGAGACTATCGTAATATTCAGTGAATTTACGAATTGATAAGCAAATATAACGTTAAAAAATCCAATTTTTTAGTTATTTCCGATGTAGTCACATGCCACCATCAGTTTTAAGAAGCGCAATCACCCTCCTGTGCAGCCGTGGTAACACTCAGCACAGCAATTAATTGCGTTCCTTGCCATTGAAGAGAGGGATCACGTGCTAAGACCCATGCCTCCGAAAACGTTGTCCATGATTAAAGTAGATGAAATTTTACATTATACTAAAGCTAAATTATATATACATTTTATAAAATAACATTTATTAATTGAATCTACGTGATTTATGCGCAACACATTTTTTTTATGAATTTCAACTTGTGAATTCCATAAAAACATGTAAGGCTAAACCACTGCCTACACAGTAAAGGTTTTACTGACAACTCGCGATATTACTGTAATTTATTTATTTATTCAACTGAACATACACTTTTGTTTCAGCGGCACACACAAATCTGGTGCGATCAATGTATAAAAGAGAGAAAGAAAAACAACTAAAAATAAGTAATTGTAATAAAAAAAACGTTATACATTATGCAGTGTTCTCTCCTTGCTCATCACTTTTCCACCCTAGATAGGGTGATAAACCAATGAAAATCCCCAGCCAGAAGATTACTTTAATTTTTTTTAAGGTATTTTATTTTTAAAATTGTAATAATAATTAATAAAAATGTTATTTACATAGCAAAGTATATGCACTTGACACTGACTTGTATTTTTTTTAAATAAATGGGTTGCTTTTTGGAATTTAAATTTATGAGTAGATTTATTTATTGGCTTAAATGAAATTTTCCATTTAGTTGTGTATGTTTTAATTTTTTATAGTTTATTTTCTGTACTTTAAGTTATAGGCTACTGTGCCAAAAAAATAACTTGACACAACTTGACAACAACTGTACCAAGTTGATTGTATCCAGAGGCAGTTTGAACACGAATGGTTTCGTTGGGATTGAGAGGGCAAAGATTGTTTTACAGTGTGGTGACGTTGATCTAAGCTTCTGGTGACGTTGTTAATGACTTTTGGGACGAGGAGTGATACGGAAACTGGTAATGCTGCCCTGAGACGTCGTGACATGAGATGTTGTGCGGGTGAACCCCAAGTGGGGCTTGTTGGAACAACTAAAAATAAGTAATTGTAATAAAAAAACGTTATACATTATGCAGTGTTCTCTCCTTGCTCATCACTTTTCCACCCTAGATAGGGTGATAAACCAATGAAAATCCCCAGCCAGAAGATTACTTTAATTTTTTTTAAGGTATTTTATTTTTAAAATTGTAATAATAATTAATAAAAATGTTATTTACATAGCAAAGTATATGCACTTGACACTGACTTGTATTTTTTTTAAATAAATGGGTTGCTTTTTGGAATTTAAATTTATGAGTAGATTTATTTATTGGCTTAAATGAAATTTTCCATTTAGTTGTGTATGTTTTAATTTTTTATAGTTTATTTTCTGTACTTTAAGTTATAGGCTACTGTGCCAAAAAAATAACTTGACACAACTTGACAACAACTGTACCAAGTTGATTGTATCCAGAGGCAGTTTGAACACGAATGGTTTCGTTGGGATTGAGAGGGCAAAGATTGTTTTACAGTGTGGTGACGTTGATCTAAGCTTCTGGTGACGTTGTTAATGACTTTTGGGACGAGGAGTGATACGGAAACTGGTAATGCTGCCCTGAGACGTCGTGACATGAGATGTTGTGCGGGTGAACCCCAAGTGGGGCTTGTTGGAACGTTGCAGAAGTTAAGGAGGTTCTTGTGTAGGTCCGACTTTTCGCGCTTGGTCTTTTCAAAGTGTTTGGCACGTTTTACTGCACTTTCCGCAAGACCATTCAATTGCGGGTAGTTAGGCTAATGGTAATATGGATGAAGTTCCAGGTTGTTGCAAAAGCCTGAAATTCATGGTTGTGCGGATGTGTAATTAGAGAACAGAAATCAAACCAGGTGGAATATGCATCACATAATGCTAAGTAGTAGTTCAAACCATTCCATTGAAAGAGATCATTGCCAATAGTTTCAAAGGTTGCTTTTGGAACATTGTAGCTGGTTCCTTCTGCGAGTGTGGCTTCATACTGTTGCAAATGGCACATGAATTGACATAGTGTTCTATGTCAGCATTCATCCGAGGCCAATAAACTATGTCTCATGCTCGGCGTTTTGTCGCTTCCGCTGCGGGATGGCCTTCATGAAGTATCTGTGTATATGTCGATTGAAGAAGTTTTGGTATTAAAACCTTCAGGCCTTTTAAAATTAGACCATCATCGCTTATAGTGAGTTCATCTCGAAAGGGGAAGTAAGTGCTTATCTCTATAGGGACGCGATAGTTTTTTTCTGGCCAACCATGTCTAATAGTAGTTGCGAGTATCTGTAACTGTGGATCTGCATTAGTCGCTTCCTGTAGCACTATGCGTTTGGACACCGAAATGTGTTCGATGATCATAACCTCAGAGTGTTCATCAGTTTTAGTGCTGGTGTTGCTTGGCAAGTGCTGGTGTTGCTTGGCATAAGTGGTGCTCTCAAGAGAGTATCTGTGACATACAGTTCTGCTCCACGTGTGTACAGTAGATTGATGTCGTACTTGTGAAGTTGTAAGCGCATTCTCTGTAAGCCTGCTGGAATGGCGTGCATAGGTTTCTTTAATATTGTCATAAGCGGTTTGTGGTCCGTTTCGACAGTGACAATATTATATATAGTGTCTAAATTTGTTGCAGGCAAACACAACAGCAAGAAGTTCTTTTTTGATCTGGCTGTATCGCTGCTCTGCTGTCGAGATACAGTAGTTCTCGATGCATACGCAATGGGGCCATTTTCTTGGATACAGACACAACCTAGACACCGAATTTGGAAGCCTCGCAAGTCAGCGTCACTGGTTTGCGAATATCAATATATCAAAGAGTTGGGGCAGCAGCGATCATTTGCTTTATTTGTGTATGTGTGTTCGTGCTGGTCATGCCAATGCCATGTGATTTCTTTCTTTGTTAACTCTCTGAGCGGCGCCGCCATGTTGCTTAGGCCTGGTATGTATGGCTAAATAGTTAACCATTCCGAGGAAACGCTGGATTGCTGTTATGTCGGTGGGTGGAGGCATGTTGATGATTGCGTCGACCTTCTTTTAGTCTGGCTTCATGCCATCTTTTGAGAAGATATGACCTAAGTATGTTACTTCGCTTACGCGGAATTTACACTTCGATAGATTGAGCTTTAAGTTTACTTCACATGCTCTCTGAAGTATTTGCTCCAGGTTGGTATCATGCTCCGCCTGCGTTTTACCGTAAACCATTATGTCGTCAACAGCTATGAAACAAGAAAGATTAGCAAATAGGTTTCCAATTGTATGCTGAAAGACTTCCGATCCAGAGTTTATACGGTATACCAACAATTGTGTTGAAAGTCGTCAATCTTGAGAATGATTCATCTAAAGGCACCTGCCAAAATGAGGATTTGGCATCTAGTGTTGAAAAGACGGTAGCACCATTGATTTCGGCTGCAAACTGCTCAACTGTTCGCATAGGATAGTGTGGACGCTGTATAGCACGGTTAAGATCATGCGGATCTATGTATAAACGGATATCGTCGGATTGTTTTTTGTAGGTAGCCACCATAGATGAAACCCATGGAGTTGGTTCGGTAGTTGGTGCAATGATAACTTGGTCTGTCATGTGTTTGAGTTTGTGTATAATTTTCGCTTTCATGGCGAAGGGAACTTTTCTGGGAGGACGTACAACAGGATCAATAAGATTGTCAAAGATGATATGATAGGTTGTAGGCAGTTTGCCTACCGTTGTGTTATCAAATAATTCACTGTAGCTTGTCATAATGTTCTGTACAAACGAATCATCAGTGAGTTCATGGACATCGGTGCTAAATGTTAATAGGTTGAATGATAATCAGTCTTGGAGACCGAGAATGATAGATGTGTGCTTGTCGACAACTCTAAATTTGATTTTACATTGTGTACCTGCAATTGCAAAATAGCTCAACAGTTCCTGGACTGTGCAGTTTAGTCCCACTAAAGCATGTCAATGTACCTGTAGCAGTGTTGTCAATGTTTGCATGCAGTTCAACTTCATGCAGTACCTGGAGAGGCATTACGTTGCACTTTGCCCCAGTGTCAAGTTTGAATTTTGTCAATAAGTTGTTTATGTATGCGTCTACTGTTGCCTCATTATTGGTATGGAGTGTATCACAATCTCAGTTATATGGAATTCAGAATCACAAGTTTCACTGACCTGACTGCCATCATGTATGGTATGAACTTGGGTAGCAACCCGGGCTGACCTACATAATTTTGAAAAATGGTTAAATATCTGACAGTTATAACACTGCTTGCCGTATGCTGGGCACTGTCTTGGGTGGTGAAAGAATCCACAATTTCCGCTGGTTAAGTTGTGTTGGGGTTTGTTGGCAGGGTCCTGGTTGGCGGGCTTCATGTTGGGATGTATTCGAATGTGGTTGTTTAGGATTCTTATACAGGCCTATACTTTATAGCATCAACTTGCTGGTGCTGTTGTTGGTTCGTTTGGGCTAGGCCTATGCGTGCGGTGTGCTCTTCAACTGATTCCATAGCCTGAGCAAGTTGTACAGCAGAATCCAGTGTTAAGGAATCGCCTTTCGCTAACAGGGCTTTTTGAATTGGTACGTGATTTATTCCACATATCAATCTGTCACGTAACATCTCATTCAATGATTGACCATATTCAAAAAATTTGGCGAGTGACCAGAGGGAGGCCAAGTAAGATGAAACGGTTTCGCCACTTAGTCTGTTCCTGGAATTATAGTCGAATCTGGCCATTATCTTTGATTTAGCCAGCTGGAAGTGAGCCTTAAGTACTTTAATGATATTGTCAAAAGATTCCTCACTTGGTTTCTTTGGAGCAACAATTGATTTGATTAGCCTGAATGTGGATGGACCAACGACGGTATTGAAAATAGCATGTTTGTTGTCCGCATCCTCAATGTTGTTCGCCTCAAAGTATTCGTCTAATCGTAGAACATACGTCTCAAACCGCTCTGTTTCAGAACAGAACTCACCTATCTTACCATACGTGGGCATTTTGGGCAATATTCTGACACCATGTAAATAGACTGAATAAAGAGAGACAGCTTAAAGTGTCATGTGTGTTTTCCTTTATTATCACTGCTTCACTCCTGTTATATAACAACCACTAATATGGACGACATGGAGTCGTTAAACTAGAGAGGGCGGCATGATAAAATTAACTATTAACAACCAGGTAGACATATTTAGATAAATTAGAAAGCAAGTTTAAGAAAAAAATTACGCACAAGGAGAGAAAGCCACATGGTCGACCTTTCACCTAGTGCCACTTGTGCGTGATTGTTTTTGTTTTTTTGGATGAGGGCCAACTTTCACTGCCTAGACTTGAGAATGTCTGAATTTGCTGTTTATTTAGAAATAAAACACATAAAAACAGAATGTAAACGCCGACTATACCATAGCACTTAAAGTTTGAAGTATGTTTGTGATTTGTAATGCTAATGTACCCGCCCGCCTTCACATTAGCAAAGAAAGAGTCAGCGCTATTTTTAGAGTCTCAACGTAGTTCTATCTACAGCGCAGCGTTCCAATGGAACTAGCTTAGCGCATACTGCCCCCTGGACCTCCAGGCATGTTGTCATCATGTAATTTTCAAATCTCATTATAGCTTCATATAAGCACTGTTAGCGGAAGTATAGCCACATGTACGTATAAGAAAGAATAGGAACTGCATAATAACATTATTTGAACCGCCAGTATTTCTACGCACTCAAGTGGGCCAGTTGACCGTGCTAGTAGTAGTAATAGTAAACAATAGAAAATCATTTAAACGATCAACAAGAATCCAAACGATTCACCGTCGTAAATTCGCGAGCTGTAATTCAAGCTTGTAGCCAATGAATATTCATATAGCGTGGTAATTAGAATGGTTGATTTCTTAGACACGTTTGTGATAGTGTGTTGACCTATACGCGTTTTTGCCGTCTGGAATAATTTGGCGATCGCGCCTAACTGTTAATGCAGAATTCTGAATTGCTTGCACATTATCTCCTTGCGTTTTAGATGTACAGTATTCACTGCCCAATTAAAATACTCATACCAAAGACTTTTTTCTTGCCCATATTCCTGACTGTAAAATACTGTAAGGCCTGCATGGGCGAATATATTGACCCTAGAAATCTGCCCACATATTTTGGAAAATAAAGGCTGTTTTCTACGCAATTTCTGTTGAAAAAAAATGTATGGGCTTATATGACAATATTTTTTTAATATCTTGTTTAGCACATCTGATTTTTTTAGTGTTTAGCGGGGGGGACGGGAGAAATGTAAAAATATTATTTTTTAATTCAGCAAAAATTATCCTGCCAAAACAAACAGAGTAGAGGAGGGACAAAAAAAATCATCATAATTTCTTTAAAGTATTATTTCATATTCTAGACCACCCAGCTTTGCAAGCACCATGAAACAGCAGTACATACATCGCTATCTAGACTCAACACAGATGCATTATTTGCCATAAAGCATGCCATAATTCTAGGCTGTGATTGGTTAATACACACAATATGCAATATAGAGACCATTTGCAATCTGACCAATGACAAACATCCTTTTTTAAGAAACCCATCCCAATGGCAAGAGATATGATATAAAAACATACAACTTCACAAATTTCCCGACAATATTTTTGAAAAACCCTTTCCATACTTTAAATTTCCCAAGCCTTTTCTTCTATATTATTACAAAATCAGCCTAATCGCGTCACAAATGAAGGCCCTGATAGAAATCGCGTCACAAATGAAGGCCCTTATAGAAAAAGAAATGACTTCAAAATTCGCTCAAAATCATAGTACAAGCCCTCTCGATCAAGGAGTAGGCTATAAACTGTAAAATCAAGGTGAACCTCGTACATAGTAGCAAATATGGACATTAACATTACCTGGTCTACACAGAAATATTTTTTTTGCATTCATGAAATGGATGGTTATAATTAGATGGAATTTTTTGTCAAGAAGGTTAGTGATATATAAGTAACTTATGTGTTGGTCTGATTGTGGACTTACTTTAATATTGTTCCCTGGCCTATCAGAGCGGTAGAAGGTTACAACGTGCATGATTCGCTGTTGTGAAACGTACATACACATGCTATCTAGAAGTTGCTCTTGCTGTAGTGTCATTTCAGCAGTTTCCTGATTTTTGTAGTTTCAAGTGTCTGACAATGAATATTCATTATCAAAATACATCATTGTGATGAGACCATGGGCTGGCGAATTATGGAAATGAGTCAACTAGCAAACAGCCTGTAACACAAAAATGATATTAGATTTAACCAACAAATATTAAGACTTACATTAATAAAAAAAAAAAAAAAGGTAAAAGTAAATGTGTAATAATAAATTAAATTAATTCTCCCTTAAAATAACATTATTTAATAGGGTTTGTATTGATATATATTCAAAACCAACATCAGTAGAATAAAAGACTATAACATATGTAATTCTCTTCAACCTTCTCGTACAGCATTCTGATAGCATGGATAATAGCTCTATACAATATGATTGAAGTTTCATGATATTGGGTAAACATCATTTACAGTATAATGATATTGTATTGCACAAGTAAGAAAAACTGTAAAATCGACATTTATAGTCTGTAACACATCCCATGTTAATACTTGTCAATCTTTCTCTTAGTATGATCTCCCAGATCATACTAAAACCAACTTTAAATCTATGACACTTTCAAATTTTAAGCATTCTATTTCTAATCCTCAATAATACCATCTTAATTTAACCTAAATTTTCTCTAACCTTGCATATCCATATTTATTATTTAAATTTTTTATTTTCTTAAGTTTCTTTCAATGTTCCTTTTAAATCTTTTTTAAGTTGTAGTTAAGTTATCCACCTTTTTTGGTTACCATATGTATATTTGCTTTTAAAATTTTGTAGTTAAGAACTGAACCACTTTGTAAAACAGTACTATGTATTGAAAGTGTATATTCAGTATAAAAAAAGAATAAATAAATAAATAACTACAACTAGGCCTCCGTGCTACAGAAAAAAGACTATATAATAAATTGTTATATAACAATTTATTATACAGTAGGCCCAGGCCTAGTAGTATAAAATGTGAATAAGGCCGCGTAAAATAAGATAATTGGTTAGCATCCCCGCCCGACCGTCGGAAAAGCCCCGACCTGATTTTTTTTCCTTTTCTTTCTTTTTTTTTTAACTAAACACTCAGAAACTGCATCTCCCGAAGGCAATTTATATAGGCTAGGCTTGTTTACTATCCGTCTGAACGCTAGCTGATAGTGCAGGCGTATATTAGCCAGCGAGCCGTCCGGCCGTCATTTGGACTGCCTACAATTATCTATAGGACTGCAACTTTTACCATGAAGGCTTGGACTAATCAGCTCGGCCTAGCCTAATTGGGCCTGGTCTACCCTTAGCAAATTCTTTATATTATAAAATCTATCGAATGTTACATTAAACTAAAGCTAAATCATATTTACATTTGATAAAAACAACATTTATTGATTGAATGTACGTTTTCGCAACAATAATCGGTGGGGATTAGTAACAGTGGGCGTGGCCCGCGCATCGGCTCAGTGCCACGCCCACTGGCTTCCATTTTGGACAGCCTATTTTTTTTTCTGGCGAAACCCCTGCATGACATCAATGACTGTTGAGTTGTTCCAACAACAAACCCAGTGTGATCCAGTTATAATGTCCAGCAAACACAAACTTAAACACAAAGCATGGAATATTCACATGCTGGTACAGTGACGTGATGTTTTATTTTTAATTTCACATCCAACAGCAATTACACTCACCACTTAGAGGATGGAATGCTTTATAAACCTATTATTGATATCATCAGTTTTGTAAACATATACAGTGTTGCATGTTTTAAAACATCATATTTCAATATGACTGTTATTCATAGACATTCATATACATAAATGCGAGAGTATTCCAGTGGATGCGATCTACAACCTCTGAATTTGCCTAGTAACGATGAATTCGTCCAGAAAATGGTAATATTTTATGAGAAATCGCCTAGGCCCTAGTCTGTATTTCTCATTTTTTTATTCTTTTGCGTAAAACTAAAATTCATGCCAATATTTTTCCATGATTTATAATAATTGGAGTAATGTAAATTGAATATTTTCTAAAAAAAGTCAGTTTTTAGTGAAATTTTGCCGGGATGGGGCTTTAAATAAAAAAACCGGCCAGATTATTATTTGCCTACTCTTCCGCATCCTGCAACAACCACACTACCAACGGAACTCTATTGGTGCGCTATACTTTCTATTGTTAAAAATCTGGCGGCCGAAATGATCTGAGACCCTGGCGCCGCCACTGCTTCTTATGGCTTATAAAGTCCGGCGCTAATGCACTTTAGTACTGTAACACTTCTATCTTAAAAAATAGTATTTTCGCCTACTGTGCACTACTAACGATATCCTAGGCGTAATGGTTTTTCATCCAGTTCTGCAACTAATAACTCCGGTTTTTAGCATTTAATTACTAAAAACACGTTTTATTCCAGCGACTCATGACGGTGCAGCTCGCCATGTTTGTTGTTTATAAATAACTAATTGCCAGGTTGTT